TTAGTCTCATTAATTGGTGCGTTTTTGCATAAACGAACGAATTGATAAAAAAATATGTCGCTCTACCTTATGAACCGAGATATTAATTATTAAAATTGACAAATATTCAGATTAGAAAATCTGTCATATTGATGGTATAGAATTTATATCATGAATTTACATTCATATATTTTAATTTATTTCTATCAAAGAGAAGTATATATTATACTTGCTGCACCTCCTTAAATTATTTAATTTACATTTTCGTTTGTATGCTCCAGGGACCTGAAAAATTTTTTTAATTCGGTTTTGGTTACGGTTTAATAAAATGTCGAATAAGTGTTCTGATTTTAGTTTCAGTTTCTTGACTGGTTTCAAGAAAATCAAGACCGAAAAAATTACGGTTTTTAACGGTTTTTTGTGTTTTTTCTCTCGATAGGAGAAGAGTTTAAAATTTTAAATGACTGTTTTATTTATTCTATTTATTTATTCTTTTTTTATTCTTAATAGAACATTTGTTTAATGAGAGAGAGAGAGAAAGAGAGAGAGAGAGAGAGAGAGAGAGAGAGAGAGAGAGAAAACATGTTCATCAGTGCAATTTAAAGAACTTAACAGAGAACATACCATGTAACAAAAATTACGCTAACCAACTATGACAGAGTCATATGATTATTTGGCGGCTCTTTCCTAAACTCTCTATTTGAATCAGTTTCTCACTTATATTACAGATATTTAAAGTGCGTTCTGTTTCACGCATGATGCGTATAATATTATTTTATTCTTCTTTAATATTGAAACAACAAGGATAAAATGATATAATCATTATGTGTAGAACGAAACGCACTCTTAATTTCCAAATTTCTATACTGCAAAAATTTAAAAATAACATTGATGCGCTGATGTACGCATCACAAAAAAGGCCTAGATAATCGCTTTCATTACAGTAAAAATCATTGAACACTATAATGATGAAAAACTCATTAAAATTATCAGTATTTTTCATAAAAATTCAGTATTACATGTAAGTAAATTATAATGAAAGTAATCCAAATCGCAATGAGAAAAAAATTAATGATATACTTTAAGAAATTTAAAAAATCATTTACATTTCATATACATTTACAACCCTGCAGAACGTTGAAAGAATGTTGCTGAGAAATTGCATTGTTAAATGTTGATATATGAATGTTTTTTCAACGTTGTAAATCTTTGTCTTATTATTTCTAAATCAAAAATGAAATAAATACATTTTACACTTTTCAGAAAAGATATTTCGGAATCTGAAGAAAGAGGGAGTACATTTTTTTTGTGTTAAATGTATATAGCTATTCAATAAAATAAAATTTCTAGTAGTAATTTTTGTTGGCAATCTTTATTAAGCCTTAATACACACCTTAGTTTTTGGCACTCTTAGGGGACTGCCCCTTGGGCAATCAGGTGGATTGGACACTACTATTTAAATCTTCCCATGTAAAGTTTAGGAGAATGCTACTGTGACTGTTTGTAGTCGTCACAATGGCAACACTGATAAGTGACATCACAGTGCAACGCATGATTACTGTTTTAGAATTTGAATATAATATTCGAAAAGTAACTATTTTATGTTTGTTCTGTCTAATTCCATTATTATTACTTTGCATTTATGCAAAATTATATTGTCACAATAAAAGATAGGTGTTTTACATATAACGTGAGCTAACTTTCGAGCGTGTTTCTTGAAGCTAAAAAAACTTGAACGATCATTTATTTAACAATGTAGTGGTTGAGAGCTTTGAGGACTAATTGATTAGAAAGATTCGAGCATGCCCAAACCTAGGTCTGTTCGCGTTGCTTGCATTCAATATCTTTGCTTTCTTTTTTTCAACGCCCAAATATATACTTATCTTATTTTAAATGCAAAAGTTTTTGGAAATTTCAAACAACATGAACAGACCTCTAGGTTTGTGGGAAACTCTCTATGTTTCAGTCACTATCATAATTTTTGGTTTTTATTCGCAGGATTACCATGCCATTTAAATATAAAAAGAAAACAGATCGTCGTAGCATATCTGTAGATATTATACGAAAAATGCCTTTCGCACATAGGGAGGGCACTTTTCCCACTTTTCATTTTTTCTTATTATTTTCCATGATGGTTTTAGCTTTAATCTACTTTAAATGCAAATCTATAGAAA